AAGAAGAAGAAGAAGAAGAAGAAGAAGAAGAAGAAGAAGAAGAAGAAGAAGAAGAAGAAGAAGAAGAAGAAGAAGAAGAAGAAGAAGAAGACAATGCTGCAAACAGTCCCACACCTTTGATCCCTTAGGCCCTCCAAGCTGGTCTTTGTCGTTGAGTCCCCACACAAAGACGTAGGTCTGGATGTCCTTACAGGAGGAGGACTTGCCCTTCTTGCCTCGGGAGGCCACCGGCTGACCGTTGGCTGACCGCTGCTGTTGCTCCTCCTCTTCTTCATCTTTGTCCTGGGCCAGGATGGAGTAGGTGGTGGGGATGTCATCCTCGTCCGTCTTGTAGCGGGCAGACACAGACAGGCCGTGGATCTTGCAGTCAATGCCGCTGCTACGACACTGCCGGATGCCCACTTCAATGACACGGTAGTACTGAAAATAGGAAAGACATTTAAGCCTCTGAAGTGCAGTAACTACTTATTATACATAGCCCTAGTACGTGACAATCTTTTTCAAGCAGACAGCCAAAGACATGTTGCCAAGGCATAAAAATGTAACTCTATGCACTTTTTCTATAGTCAAAGACCATGAATATCGTGACACAAAAATAACTTTTTGTTATCTTGAGTTGGTTCCTGACTTGATATACAAAGAGTAAAAAAAAAAAGAGCAGAATGAACCTGACTTGACAATCTGTCTTGGTCTGTGAACACTTCTACTATAGTAAAAAAAAAACCCATGAATTTCATGACACAGAGAAAACTTTTTGCTGACAGGAGTTGGTTCATGACATGATACAGAAAGGGATAATTTTTTTAAAAGGCCAACTAAACTCGTCTTGACAATCTATCTTGGCCTGTAACAGAATAGACTTTTTAGAAAAAAGCTAAATGAACTTATCCATCAAAATCTCACAATCTGAATAGACATGAAAAAAAAAAGCTAAATGAACCTATCTATCAAGCCTGTGATAACAAGGAAAATAAGAGGAACTAAAAACTCTTTTTACCTCTGTCATATCAGAGAGCAGGACCACCAAACCCTCATCCATGGGTACATGGACAGTGCGTAACTCTTTCAGGCTGACCACAGAGTCCCCACCACTGACCACCACCAGGGACGGGATGTAGCTCGAGTCTGCCGGGTCCACACGCATCACCAGTCGGTTGATCACCATGTCCGGCTGCATCTCCAGACGAATCCAGTGCTGGGAGAGGAAAACAGCAAAGTAAATTAACCAGTATAAAATAAATTGGGATTTTATCAGCCAGAAGAAGATTAGGACAATATTAACTTATCAAACCCCAGCAGCCACTCCCAGCGGCTGAAACTTCTTCTCAAAATGACGAGCGAAGGCGATGGCTCCCAGAGATGCACACAGGTATAATGATTATCTGGAGTTTCTTATCTGAACAGCTATGAAAGCCCAAAAAACATTGTAAGATGCTTTTTTTTTCTCTTAGGGCCGTTAACACTCCAATGCCTTATGTTATATGTCCTTTCTTTGTTTGTGTTGTATCCCCACCTCCTGACCTCCACCCCCTATTTTTACAACTAAGTCCATAGAAAGTTTGAAAATAACGGTGAATGTACTTTTTTACTTTTGGCGAGTGATGTATTTAGTATTCCACCTTTGCCTGCTCCTCATTTTGTCCTTTTTGACAATCCACATAGAATAATGTTGCTAAGAGGCACAAACAAATATGTTTCTAAAGCCACTTTTCTCCAACAGCAAGTAAAGCCACAAAAATCCAATTAAGATACAATGAATCAGACAATAATGAGTTCTTTTTTTTCTCTTTTGGTCACCTTTCCTTGTGTCCCGTGACTCTGCCAGAAGTGTCCCTGACCATCATAGAGGCTGTGAGCCTGGTCCTCACGTGAGGACACTGTCAGATTTTTCACACAAGCCTGCCAGCTGTTGACGGAGGAGCCGCGTGCACTCAGGGGCTGGCTTGGCCGGTTGTGGCGGCCGGGTTTTCCCGCAAAGCAAGGGTCACTCCCTGAGAAAAGGACACAAAATTCAGTATTCACCTTGGATATGACATACACTGGCCAGCAAATTACATTTCAATTTGACCTTAAGTTCAAGAAAAGCATTCTGAGAAAACCACCCGTACATTTTTAAAGAAGAGACAAGATTCAAAAATGTTTTTGTTTTGAGAAGGGTATTTCATATTTATGATTTATAAATACATTTACTCTGTAATGTTCTTATGACACATTGCCAAATATGTCTTAACTTTTTGGTGTTCAGCCATGGACTAAGATATCGTGGGTTTATTGTGATACAGGTTTCTGGCATTGGCCAGGTTTTCAACAATACTGAAGACCAAATGCAATGTTACCACATAAGAAGTTAAAAACTGCACATACATATCATTATTTATTAGGAACAAAAAAATCTATCCTACCCGATGCAAAGTCAGATTCATTTAGGTCACACCGTAACCACAAAAACTTATACAAATACAATTGGAAAGAAATCAAATCCATGCACAAACACACTGATGCTGGTAATCAAATGAATATTTCATAATGAGTTTACTGCTTATATTCAGACACTTAACAATTATAAACTTGAACGCTGTATGATCTTCAATTATCTGCTCACAACAAACTGTGCAGATAAGGTAAGCATATTACAAAAAAGCCCTCAAAATAATACCTGGTTCTTGCAACCTGTTGAATGGATGTTTGTGGGAGCGGCTGATCTTGAAGCAGTTCTCACAGAGATCGAAGTCGTCACAGGTCTGGCAATGGAATCTTGGTCCAGTGATGGGGTTCATATAACAGCCAGAACATCTAAAAGACAAAGAGAAAGGAGTTTTTTTCTCAAAATATTTTTGACTTGAAAGACATGACACTGTACATACATAAAGGAGGTAATCACACTCCCACCCAAAAAAAGAAAACCTAAAAAACCCCCCCCGAAAAACAAAACCTCTCTGAAAGTGTGAATGTTCAAAAGGGAAATATACAACTAATATTAAGCACATCAGAATGACAGATGTTTGCTCACTGATTTACTAATCCACCTCTGTAAAGGCAAAAGCAATCAAACAAGTTGAAGTCTCATTACGTCATCATAAAAACACCTGAAACCATAAGGCAAACAATCTGTATCTTCCTCTTTGTTTAGTTAATAACCAGTACACTAAGCATGTGACTAAAAAAACAACTACAACAATAATCAGGAAAAAGTTAGTATTTGAGTACTTTAAAAAAATCATAAATTTTACTAAATAGAAGCAACTACATACTAAGCTTTGAAACATCAGGTACAGGAAATAGAAATGTACTACATTCAAAAGACAAAAACCACTGGCTCATATTTCACGACATTTCTTAGCCAATTATCAATACTTCTATTGTCTATTTCAACATAAAATAAAATGAAGCTTTAAATAGAGGCAAGCTCATCAATTTTTCTGACATGTAATATTCATTTATCATTTGTAGGGAAAGTTTTGCAGCTCAAAGTTTATTAGAAATCTGTTTCTATAATGAAATGCCAAAAATCATGTCACAGGGCATGAAATTAATCTGCAACTGTGTCACCTGTCAATAAGAGCAGAGCTCATTTTCAGCTGTTATCTTTCAAGGTTAAACTGAAGGAATAAGAAACAAAAGAAAGAACCCTCCTAGCTTCCTAACAAGAAAGGAAATAGAGATTGTCGTCATTTTCAATCCAGTCGCCTAAGAATTTCTCCCTTGGGACATTAGTATATCACACAGTTGATTCCACCGAAATCGAACACAATCTAAAATCAGCAGTAAATCACAAGAAAATAATATCCTCGATTTTTTGTCTATTATTTGAGCAACTTCTCTAAACCGAAAACGTAGCTTAATCGAAGAAAATTTGATGGCTCTGCAGATTTCGGTTCAAGCAGACTTCACAGTATATGTCAGTAAAGTGTTTCGGGGGACTCAGAAAAAAAGAACACTTACGAGATCTGAGGATGTGTACTGGGCACCAGCTCCATCTCTGAGATGACCCCTGTCCAGTGGGACTGTTGTGGAAAGTCCACTGTGATGTCACGGCCATTTGGGATGATTGCTGGGGACAGACCATATCATGACAATTGGAATGTGATGTCATTATTATCATCATTAAAAAAATAAACGTCTTGAAGTAAAATTTCTGAGATCATTATTCTTAACAACACGAAAAAGGTGTGTCATCTGGTGTGTCATTAGACTAAAACTTTTTCAAACTTCTCACTTCAACAGAAAAAAAACCCAGTAAGAAATTAGCAAAAATTCTAGCTGAAAAAAGAATTTATATGTTCATATCAATGAACGCTTGACAGCCCTTTACTTCATATTGATTGAAAGCCCATCAACAAATCGACTGCTCAATGTAATACTCCGACCTATGCCACTTTTCAATATGGCGTATGGCAGAATCTTATGGCAAGCAGTTGAAATGTCCTTCCTGTATATACAAACCTTACAATGACTGGGAGTAGTCATCTTAGGCTCTTTGAGGACGTAGTTGGATGCAAGTACAACCACAACAATCAACAAACGTCATCTCCCAATTTCTCCATTCCCTCCATTTCAACCCTGCCATTGACATTCTGCATTAACTCAATGACTCCACGTTGCCATTTAAGTGGCGTTTTTTTTTAAAATTCTGTACTTTAGCAGATCATTACTTCAGTGCCATGTTGGGGAACTGTTTTTGTCAAAACATTCACTGCCCATTTTCACCCATATTGTGATTTCCCGTCCAATAACAAATAGATGAGTGTCCACACAAACAAATCCATCAATATTTGACTGAATTAAAGCTGCTTTAAGGTAATACCCTTTGCCGCCTCAAATTGGGGGCAATAAAACTTTGGCATCCCTCATGTACTGAAAGAGTTAAAAAGGATGTAACTGTAATTCAGCACAGCAATGAAATAGATATCAACTGACATTCAAACCTGTTCTCCGAACACACTCACAGTGGAGTTATCAAAGAACAGCATATAGCATTTTAAGAAAAATTTACAGTTGAAATTGTCTAAGACGGCCACCCATTGTTGATGATGGAAGTGCTTGTCCAAGACAAATGGATGTATGGGACAGTATCATTTTAACAGTGAAAAAAAAAAGTGCAAGAGGTAATGTGGGAACACGTCGTTGGTATAGATGATTGTCCTGGTCAGTTGGTTATTGTAGCAGGTTTGACAGTGTTTAACCCTATCTGTACGTTCTGTTTTACTATTGTACCCATACGACATGGGGAACTCTGTGCCACCACCTTCCAAAGAGGAAATTTACTCGTTAATCCCATCCGTATGCTTTGCATAGCAGTCTATCAAAATGATTTTTTGGAAATACTGAAAGTTTCAAAGAGATCTTAGTACTAGAAGTATTCTAAAATGTGAAGAAGACAACCCCAGGGGTACAAAATGACCCCAGGGCGTACGGATAGGGTGAAGAACATTCCAGCATTCAGACTTACCTGTCACTGTCCCAATGCTGGAATGGGTCACTGAGCCCCACTTGTAAGTAGGCTTTGTCACCGAGGGTTTCACTCGCACCTTATCACCAACCTTAATGGTCTGACCTTTATCTGGGGGAAGAGGGAACAGTTCAGAATAATAAATACCATACATGTCAAAGGAAGAGTTGATGGCATTCATTGAGGCTCTCTTTCAAATCATCATTTTAATTCAAATAAGTAAACCATTATACAAACGGTGTATTCCTTTGTTGTGTATAGCATTTAGAAAAGCTGAATGATAAACGTTGGTTAAAACAATTAATGAGAATAGACTGGAATCTAATTTCTATTTCAGTATTAAAATTAAGGAATAATGAAAACTGTGCACAAAATGGAATCTAAGATAGTATTTTCACATCCTTTAACCACCCAAATACTATTGGGTACATCGTTTTCTTTACGTTAAGGAAGTACGCAACTGTTCACCATTTTAGTCATCATTTGTATATCTAATCCTGGCGGTGTTGACCTTTGTGTCACTATGTAGAATAAACCACATACTACATAAACCTTAACATTTAAATGATGGCAGCGTTCAATATTCCTGAAAACATGACAAATGACAGAGCTGGATTTTCAGGATTTTGAACTTACGAATTTATAAAATTAGTGTGGCTGGTGTATTTTATATAAATTTTTTTTCATAAGAGCCCAAGACCAGGTGGGAAGATATATGCACCTATGGAGAGTCAACTCACCAACAGCCGTGTTTGTGAAACCCAGAAGCTCCACATGGATGTAGCGCACCCAGTAGGTCCCGCCCTTGCGCTGCCAGTACGCCTGTACATTCAACTCATGAAGTCCGTCTTGGTCAAGCTGTGAAACACACAAAAGTACTCTGAATAAATACTAAAAAATACAGCACACTCACTGAGAACGAGAACACATTAAATAATTTATCCACAAGCAATCACAACTGTTCCTACATATAATTTACAAATTAACTTTATACTCCAATATAACAGTATCAGGGGGAGCCTAAAAACTCACCAGATCAGCGAAATACAGAAGTGCTGTGGCTACTAATCATTGTCTTAGTCAGTTATCACATCAACAGAGATAACCTGTACGAATGCCTGTCAAAACATAGCACTTGGTTTGAGAGGGAAACAGGTAAGGCTTCCCACTCCCCAAATCAGCACAACAAAACCAAAAGTAGAGCACTTAGACATACCTTTGTGACTTTACCAATATCTCCCTGATGAACTTCCTCGTAGGTCCTACAGCAGCGCACCATCATGCCGATCTGGATCTTCTGCTTGACATATATGGCGTAGTCGTCTGTGTTAGTGAAGTCACTTCTCTTCTTGAATTCTGACCCAGTGGGGACAGCAACAGGTTCTGGTGCTGGAGTCTTAGCAAAAAAAAAATACACAGAAAAACGTGAACAAAAGTGAAAACGTTTGAGCCTACTTTCTAGGTTTGTATATAATTATAACAGATCTGCTTCTGTACCTATTTATCAATACAAACACAACAGGAACCCAACAGATACAAAATAAGGTGAGCGAAAATCAGGTTGCATGTCAGTGAAAATAGTGTATAAATTAATAGATACGATGAAACTCTAAAATCCTAACTCAGTGTTACTTTAGTCTTATTTGGGCCCATTTTCAGTATATGAACCGTGAGGCTAAAACTATGCAATTAATGATGCTGCAACGATGAATGTTAAAACACAACTTTCAACAAATATCTTCTTATACACTTAATCCTTTCTTCAACATACATGGTGGGACTCATTAATATTCTTTTCTTACTTATAAAAAAATAAATCCCTCCTTCATTGTACATTATGGAACTCGGGAAGACAGTAAGAAATGTTTCCCTGGCATATAAATATACAAACACACACACACACACTTATTACAACACACTTGAGTCTTCCACACAGCCTACCTCAAAAGCTTCCAGCTCATCATAACCCTCAGAGCCCGAGTCACTGTCGGAGAGACCTTCTTCCGAGGAGGCCATGTCTGTGTCCGAGTCCTCTTGGCCGGGGCTTGGGTGCTCCAGCAGCCAGCTGACCAGAGCCTCTACTGTCGGGGTATCATTGCCTGGGAGCAAGCCACCTCCTGAGAAAGAATTAGAATTAATTATTTCTTCTTAAATATAGGAGTTTTTACACTTTCATCAATACAATTTAGATCAATTAGGAGGCGGGTTCAACCCTACCTGTCACAGCCAGACCAGACCATCAATGATTTATTTATAGAGGCACCAGCCATCCATGTCCAGGTGCTGTTTTAGCCTACCTGTCACAGCCAACCGGTGCAGAAAGGGGTACAATGTTCCAGCAGAAAGATCGAGATACTCGATAAAAATTCTTCCCACATGGGAATCAAACTCAAGCTCAGGTCTTTTGTGTGAAACAATGAATTGCTTAACCATTACACCACAGATACCGGTCATGAGAGAGAGACAGATACATATATTTAAATACACATCTCTCTTCTATATGAGCTTTAACTGATTGTCATGGTGCATTTTTGTGAGGAATTTATACGATTGTGGTAATATTTTGCAACTTGACAGAGTCATTAAAAAAAACAACAACCCCAAAGTGATAGAAAAATGACAAACCCAATGATTTGACTGCCTGCTCCACCCGTCGCCGCGGAAACCCCATCTCCACCAGCTGCACCACAATGGGGGACGGCAACGGCTGGGGCGGCTTCAGCCTGCGAAGCTTCTGTAGCCGGGCAACTATCAAGCTCTGCGGGGGTGGGGCTGTGTAAGCCGGGTTGAGGTTGGTTGCTGCGCCAGCCCCGCCCACCACAGCTCCGAGGACGGGAATGCCAGCCAAGTCGGTGTCGTCGTCTTCGTCCGTGCTTTCTTCACCAGCCATATCCCCTGGTTGCTGACCCAGTTCTGAGGTCAGGTGTTGGCAGGCTGCAAGTCCGGCCCCCTGAAAAGGTTCATATGATAAGTAAAAAAAAGATTAAGTCAAGCTCAAGTGTTTTTAAACAGACACAAAAGGTGTTGAGCTAACTAACAAAAATTCTACAAAAATTGTCAAACTGGCAGAAAAATGCCAATATTTTCGATTTCATATATTTTGACGAGTGCCTGATTTCACCACAATGCCTCACATTTCTTTCACCAGGATCAGAAGGCTTTTTTTTTTCCATCACAACAAGGAACAGATGAGCATAACAGTAATGCTGAAAACTGTTGCAACGAAAGAAAAGCATAGTCTCAGAAATCTCTGTCCGTGCATAGCCACAGAAATCTCTGCCAGTCCATGGTCACATTTCAACAACAAAAAAAAAGACTTCTTATTTCTTTTCTTTTTCCACATACTTCCAGTTCATCAACTGAGAAGACAGCTTTCAGCGGAGAGGGCTGAGTGGCCGTCATCAGCAGCTGCTGCATCAACACCACACGGGACGGGCCGTCCCCTCCCCCTTCCTCCTCCGCCGGTGGTGGAGCCGAGGCCTCCAAGGGGGCTCCAAACGACTCGCTCACGGAGGCCGGGATGCTCTGTGACAAGATCTGGCGCAGTACGTCCTGTCGGCTGAACAGCTTCGCCATGGCGCGCAGTAGGCACAGGCGGATGTACTGCTTCCGAAGCTCTTTGAAAGTCAGATGGTTGCCTGAATAGAAGATTAAAGGAGGAACATTAAATGACAAGTCAGTTTTGTGTCTTTGTTCACCATGAAAACAAAACAAGGCAAATACAGTTAAACCTGCCCTGATGTTAACCTGTCCGAGACAATAGCCTGTACAACTGACCACTGTTCATCGTTAACAAAGCTATCGGCACATCAATCCTGCTCCTTGGTTTTTCTGTACCAGCCATGACTGGAGTGGTTAAAAGACAACAGCAAAATGAGGCTAAAAATATTATCTAACCCAATAGTTGTGCATATTTTCTGTTCTATTACTTTCTTTTACTGTGAGGGGACACAGCGGCAGGCAGTGGAAGAGGAACCTTTTTATTATTATCTTAGTAAGAGTTCTACAGCATTTGCATCACATATAGGTCATTGAAGTGCCGAAGATTAGAAGTGCTATTAGAGTAACATACAAAGAAAAGAAGAAGGAGAGATTAGGACGATATATATTTGATAGGAAATAAGAAGCAAACCACATCAGAGCACCAATCAAACACCCACAGAGAAACCCCTACTCAAGCACTAGCCTCCTGTCCTTATCTCTCCCCCTTTTTCCATTTGTATGTAGGTTACTATCAAGTAACACCTCTTTTAGTTTTAGTAGAGGTTTTACGGCGCTCGCAACTGCACAAGGTCATTTGAGCGCCAGAAGATTAGAGGTGTTACAAGAGAGTAACAAACATAAAAAAGAAGAAGGGGAGATAAGCACGATAGATGTCTGATAGGAAAGAAGAAGCAAACCATACCAGACCACCCGCCAACCACCCACTAACACCTCTAATCTTCGGCGTTTATATGACCTAATTGTGTTGCAAGTGCTGTAAAACTCTAACTTCCACTAAACTAAACCAGCTCCTCACCTAGAGAGTCAATGCTGCCGGTGCTGGTGGCCAGAGGGGCCCGGGGCATGGCGTCCTTGTCTCTGTCAGTCCGCACGGCCGAACAGGCCAGGCTGCACAGCAGTGCCCAATGGGAGAGTGTCTCATCACTCAGGGGCATCTTCTCCACATGGAACTCAACAAGAGGAACCTGGACACATACGCGGGAGAAAAAAAACAACAACATATAAAGAGAAAAAGGCAGATAAGACAATTTTTTGACTAGTAATATGTCCTGAAGTGAACAGATTTTACTTGACGTGGGGTGTTGAAGACAAGATGATATGTTCTCATATAATGAAATAAGTAAATCCGATGATTTCAGATTTGGGAATTCTGTAAACTTTCCGAAAAAATGAGCTATACAAAGTAAAACTTAATTTAGCTAAAATATTGTTAACTTACTACATCGAGCAAAATAATGTCAACATCACATTAAAAAGAGTAATGACTGCCTTTTAGAAATTAAAGGGTTGTAAGCCTTCCATATTTCAACAATCAAAAGTTTTAAGAATGAATGAAAAGGAAAACATAAGAAGAAAATATGCCTATAAAAATTCATCCATTCTTCAGTCAGTATCAGTATGTATCCCTGCTACAAGAAATTTGAAATGGAGGAGAAAAGACCCATGACATACTTTTTACCAAGCATTACTCAAAAAAAGATTTTTAAAGTGTTCCATTAACAAAGTAATCCTAGGCTTTGTCTTACCCCTGTGAGCTCCGAGAGACGGCACAACCTGGCAGAGCCGGTGTGAAACTGCACTTGTAGCTTGCCCTTCGCCGTGATCCTGCAGACTGTTCCCAGACCCAGCTCTTCATGTCTCACCAGGGAGCCCAGGCGTAGACGACAGTCCACCCCACCAATGACCGACAGCACCGCCATCATGAGCGCCGTCTGGTTACTCTCTTCCTCTAGTTCAATCTGGAAGGTGAAAACAGTCAAGATAAGTTGTTTCTGTTTCAGTAATAGTTTTATGCCACTTGCAACACATTTAGATCATAAAAGAACAGAAAATTAGAGGTGTTAGGAGGAAGTAGGAAGTCCCAAACAAGGAGGAGAGATAAGGAGGATAGTTGTTTCAAAGGAAAGGAGAAGCAAACCACACCAGAGCACCCGCCAACCACCCACAAGATCAGTTGAATTGAGTAAAACGCGACCAAAAAAGAGAAGTTCAAGAACGCCCAGTCTGGAATTCCAAACAGGCACATTTGCTCTGTAATCCAAAATTATATCAACTGAGTGAACAGAGTGCCCTCACATAGAGCGTAGAACTGAACAACACCGTATCATAACGAGCAGCATAACATACATGGTGGGTTCTCCTCTCTGCCAGGAGCGACACAATGCTGGGCAGCTGTCCTGCGATGTAGCGGTTGATGGAAGCGTTCCACACAGGCAGTGTGTGCAGTCGGCGAATCAGAGCGATGACTTCCTCCGCCATAGTGCTGGTGTAGGTGGCAGTCATGCTCACCGGGACACTGTGCTTCTTCTCCTGGCCAGCCTCCACTAAACAGGATTAAAAGGTAATGTTTGTTTTAGTAAGGTTTGTTTGTTTTAGTAAGTGTTTTACGGCACTTGTAACACAATAAGGTCATAAAAGTGCCGAAGAGTAGGTGTTACAAGAGAGTAACAAATACGAAAAAGAAGGAGGGGAGATAAAGATGTTTGATAGGAAAGAAAAAGCAAACCACACTAGAGCACCCGACAACTGCCCACTTAGTAAGGTTTTACGGCGCTCGCAACTGTATAAGGTCATATGAGCGCCAAGGGGTGGATGTCAACAGAGAAGTCCAAACGGGGAATCAGGCTTACTCTGCTCACCTCTCTAGCCTCAACAGCACAAAGTCTAACAAGGCACCCCGGAAATAGCAGTTCACAAGCGTGACAAACATACAAAAGAAGTGGAGGAAAAAGTGACGATAGTAAGGATGAGGAAAGAAAAAGCAGCAGTTCCTCTTAAGTAGTTCTTGCACAGTACAAGCATGACATTGAAAAATCAGTCCATTTACAATTCTACTGTGCAGAACATGTTAATATCCCCCCTTTAAGAATGGCCTAAAGACACTTCAATCAGTAGCACTGCCCTGGGGGGGGGGTTAAAAGTTGAGGTCAGTTTAGTTTTTGAAAGTTTTACAGCACTTGCAACACAAATAGGTCATAAAAGTGCCAACCAAAGATTAGGTGTTACAAGAGAGTAACATACAAAGAAAAGGAGGAGAGAATAAAACAAGAGATTCTAAAGAAAAGAAGGAGCAAACCACACCCGAGCCCTCATCAACTGCCAACAAGGCAAGATTAGACACGATAAGACATTAAGATAGTAATGGAAATAAAACATATGTTTTAGTATGAGTTTTACGGCGCTTACAACTGCATAAGGTTATATGAGAGCGCCATAAAACATATGTGATCTGTACTAATGCTACAAATTCATATAGGACACAAAATAGTTCAAGTGCAGCAAAGAAGAGAGTAATGTAAAAGAGACCATGATACATCAATATTGAGGACAAGAAATAGGACCTATCAAATAGTAATCATCATCAATCATTCACGGAGAGATCATGTGCAGAGAAAAGGAAAACCTAAAGATTGCAACATTCAGCAGGCCAAATTCAAATTTCAACTTTTCCTCATTTATACGAGACTAAAAGCACCCCGACTTATCATAGGGAATAAACTTCTTTTTTTTTCAGTCTCAGAGCTCTTTAATAAGATTATTGTTTATATTACATTCAAGCATTATCCAAGCCAGCAATGCACAAAAAAAAGAAAAAAAAGAAAGAAACAAAGAAAAAAAAAAGCTCATCCCTGTGCTAAATAAATACAATTGAAAAAAATGTTTTTTCCGTTTTTATGCCCCACATCAGCACAAGTCAGATCACTTAGGAGATGGGCTTCGACCCTACCTATTGGGCTAACCTGGGCTGAGAGCGATACTATATCCCAGTAGAAAAACCACGAGATACACTCTAAAAATTTTCTCGCCTCAAGAACCGAACTCGTGTATCTTGCATGCGATGGCCAAGCCCCTTACTCCTACACCACAAATGACCTCGTGTAAATGTTCAACTTACGAGTTGACGTCAGTGTCATGTCAGTGGCACAGCCGATGAGGACACTGCCCAAGATGGAGAACAATCGCTCCACAAGACTTGTCACTCGGCTTCTATCCATGTAGTGGTCCCAAGAAGGTAGCACTGCTCGAAGCAGCTTTAAAATCAGGATCTGAAAAGAATATAGTTTGGTCAATGAAGTTCTTTCTTAAGACAAAATGGAAAAAAGCTTAACTCAGGACAGGGATGTTACACATAATAATATGTTCAATGCTGAATCAACAAACCACTACATAATACAGTCTTTGATTGTAGCTTGCATATCGCCCCAAACTTAAAAATAATCCAGTTATGAACACTTTCCATTGACATGCAAAATTTTGGACCAAAAAAAAAAATTAGAAAAATAAAGAAATGCATAACAGTAATGCATAACAATGTAAAACTGTTGCAAAAGCCCACCTGTCTGTAGATGTTCTTGGAGTACTTGGAGCCGTGGTCCTCCTCCAGGATGCGCAGCAGCAGGCCCAGCCAGCGCGGGGAGGAGAGGGCGCGACACATGACGGGGCTGGTGGCCAGGCTACGGATGAAGCCCAGGCTACACCACTGGCTGTGTTGTTGGCTGGCAATGTGGGCTGAGGCCGAGTTCGTATCTGAGTAAGAAAACTCGTTTAAAATCAACATTTCATGCTTCTTTCCTTTATGTTCATTCCTAGAAACGCAAACTTTAAAATGATGTCCATTTCTCATATGATAGAGTACAGAAAGTACTTAACAACTCAAACTCTACTTGTGTGTATAAAGAAGTAATTAGTGAATAGATTGTAGATTGTAGAAATATGGCAAATGCTGAGTTCAGGAAAGAGAGATTTCGCATGTCATTTCTTTAGTACCACTTATGGTTATATCACTTGAATAAAAACTGAAGAAAGCAATTAGCATTACACAATGAAGACACAATGCTTGAAAAAGTACTGGAAATTTATACCAAACACTTTCACATAAACAAAAAATGGAGTCTAGTCTTGCAGTAGCTGCAAACAAAGCTACGACAAAAATATAGAGCAAACAGATTTAATATCAAACTCGGGCTCCCACTTCCACACTCACTTGGTCCATAGTTGCATCCTGCATCCACAATACTGAGCATCAGCCCACATAGAGCAGCCACAGCCTCAGGCTGAGCGTTCTCAGCGTGAACACCAGCACACAGTGACAGGGCTTTGAGGAAGCCCACGGTGGAGCGACGAATCAGACTGGTCGGGTGTTTGTTCTCTGGGTGGGTCTTCTCTGAGACCAAACAAGGACACAGCTTTGTTACAAACAAATCTCTTATAAAAACATTACCGGCAACTGTTTTTTGTTGTTTAAGTAAGTGTATTATGGCACTTGCAACACAATTAGGTTATATGAACGCCGACCAACAGATGTGTTTTTTAAAGTAAGTGTTTTACGGCACTTGCAACACAATAAGGTTATATAAATGATGAAGATTAGAGGTGTTACAAGAGAGTAACAAACACAAAAAAATAAGGAGGAGAGATAAGGACAATAGATGTTTGATAAAAAGAATGAGCACGCCACACCAGTGCACCCGTCAACAACCCAAGGCAAATAATTCCATTCAATTAAATATAAGTGATGTAGTCTATTGTATGCAGCCTCTAAGCTCAATCTCAATCTCAAAATGCAAAATCATTTACTGTAATCCATAGCTTACATCTAACATTTTCAGATAAGGTGGTAGCCAGTACTGAGCGATGAGAAAGGGGAAGCAAGTACAGGCAAAGTAGAAGTAAGGACCTGAAGGAGAAATATGTAAGTGCTGTTCACTTCCACATGCTCAGATGCAAACCAACAGGTTACAACCTAGGTTTTATTGTCCTAATGAACGTCCAAAGAATACTCGTTCAAAGAATACTCCATGCTGTACAAGCCTGAACTTGCAGTGAAGTCAAGATGATGTCAGATCGACTACTCAGTGTAAGACTCTCATATGTCATTTTTCAAAGTGGCGTTTGGCGGCGTCTAACACTAAGCAAACGACAAACTTACACGTCAATTAAAATGTTCAGAGGGTATAGTAACAAAAAAAGGTCTTATCATTTCCAAACGAGAGACAGTGTAAGGGACTTGGGGGATAGAGAGGGGAGTTGAGTAAGAGACATGACTTTGGGTCCTGTGAAGGGATATAGGAGGGCCCAGTATATATGCTCTGCAGGGCGCACAGTTTGACATCTTTCCTGTTTCCTAAGCCAACTGACCCTTATAAGAGATGCTTTTTTTCTTCATAAGGATCTCAGAGTGTATTTCTCTGCCCCTGCCACCACTTACTATCCATGTAAGTGGACACATGTTGCTATCTAGTGTTAATATCTAATATTATAGAAAAATTGAAACACCTCCAGATATCAAAGTCTACATCTACACAAATGAGAGATGATAAAAACAGATCTATCAAAGTTCACGTCTACAGAAATGACAGATGATACAAATAGATGCATCCACTGACCACTTTGTGACTCATCCTCCTCCTCGTCATCCTCGTTGTCTGTGAGCTCTGGCATCTGTGCCAGCTTGAGGTCGTACTTTCCCTCCTTGCCCATTCGGTAGCTGTTGGTGCTGCCCGTGTCCCACTGCACGCGGATCCAGCCGTCCTCGCCCAGCTCACCGATCACGTTGCCCAGGCTGGGCGGAGGACCGTCCTGGCACAGATTTTTGTGTTTTAGTACACAGGTAAAGGTTTTATGGCACTTGCACAACAACAAGGTCATTTACGTGCCAAAAATTAGAGATTTTTTAGTTTGAGTAAGAGTTTTACGGCACTTGCAACACAATAAGGTCATATAAGTGCCGAAGATTAGATGTATTACAAGAGAGTCACAAACATAAAAAAGAAGGAGGAGAGGTAAAGATGACAGATGTTTGATAGAAAAGAAGGAGCAAACCACACCATAGCATCCGCCAACCACCCTCTCATATTGGAATAACAAGATTACACCAACAGAAGCACCAAAAAGAAGTAAAAGAAGTAGAAGAGAAGCAGACGACACCAGAGTCACCACAATCCACTAGCTGGGTAACTTAAGGAGAAGCACAAATATAATATAATGGTAACTTCGTTCCTCCTATAGACAGCAAGCACATTCAGGCAAGGACAGAAAAAAAGACAAGCAAAAATCACAGTAAAAATCAGAGCTCATACATTTTGGAGGATGGTCCATTTACAAATCAGCTGCTCAGTGTAAGACATTATTATTCTTTTTAACGGTACATGCATGGCAGAATGTTACAGAGGGCACTCCAGTTGCAGGTGTATGGCATAAATGCTACCTGTCAGAGAGCTCATCATCAATTCTTTCCTCGCACTCAATATTTTCAGGCACACGAGGTTTAAACTTGTTACAAGTGCGATAGTCACAGAATACAAATCATCTATACGTTCCGTGTATTCAGCATTTTTAAGCATACCTGGGTCAGATTCATTACAAGTGCGATAGTCACAGGATACAAAAAGTAGAAAACTTATATAAAAAAACTATAGTCTAGGGAGATGGAACAATGCATATTACAGTGCTATTCATGAAGTTTGCTTTCAAATAAATTGAGACTATTGCAAAAAAATGAAATATCCTCACAATGCAAAGGCCCCAGACTTAAATTCTGCCAATATCATGCAAGGGTAAGGAATTTAATTTTAAAATGAAATACGGAAATTTCTGGAAAAGATGACCTCTGCACTGGGCTAACTACAGCCAACACCTCACATTGGCTCACTCACCTGGTCTCCCCATTTCCAGTCCACACCCCGCATGACACGTGTGCCCACTTTCATCATGGCTGCCAGTTCGGGTCCTGCCATGGGCATAGCCTGGTTGCTCTTCTTGTTTATCTGCTCCTCTGGGATGGTCAGTACGGTACTGCCATTGTCAGCCACTGGTAAGTCAGGGTCTGGACCTGATAGGTGAGAATTGTGAGAATGTTGTTGTCATAAAAATGTTGTAGTTATTAAAAGAGACCACTGCTGGAAGCAAAGTTATAGAGTTGTGCAAATGTAATAGTTACTATCTGTAACCAATACCAGAGGGAAAGTTATATGAATGCTGTAGATATTAATTGTGACCATTGCTGGAAGGAGAGGTGTGCTAATGTAATGCTTATGTATAGATTTAACACCGCTTTCAACACTGTAAGGTTGCCGAAAAGACGGGATCTCTGAATTAAAATTTATATGTAAATTTCTGATAAGACCAAGCAAAAAAGATGGAGAGCCTTAAAAACTCTCTAAAAAACCCTCAAGATTGATTCATTTGGGATTTAAACTACTCAGTAGTCTAGCATGATACCAACTGAGCTAACAGAGCACCTAGGTAATAAATGAAGGAAATGACTTGACAAAGAGATCTATTTCAGGTAAAAATGGGTTTGTGGTCATATTGATTTGCTATTGATATTATTCAGCTCTTATTGCTACCATTGTTACAATCTGTTTGTAGTGGAGTATGGCCTTTTTCAGACAACACAAAGAAAAATAAGCAGGCCATACCAGAGCCCCAATAGTAGAGATAAGAGCAAGGGATAAATGTCCCACAACTGTTTGTAAAGAAGACCACGATTCAACCTGAGCAAAATACTCCTGACTCTTTCTACTGCTACTCCTGGCTCTGCCACACCCCTGATCTTAGGATGAGCAAGATAAAACAACTAGCCTTCTCGGACAAGAGGCGAAAAATCTTGGAGGTCCTGTGTGCCAGTCGAGCATGTTAAAGATCCCTTGGTGGTCCTAAAATCGATAAGAGTCTCCAGCTGCCACTTGTACAAAATTAAAAATTAATTCCTACCAAGACTGAAAATACTCTAGTCAGTATAAAAACATAGAGTACCTATGAAATCAGAATGTGGCTGCCTGAAGGCAATGGGCTCTGTGAAGACGGAAAAATGGTAACATACGTAAAAATCAGTTGCACAGCAGGTTGAATAACCAGCAGCTGAAAACCCCTGAGATCTAGAAGGAGAACAACAAGAAAAAGAAGAAAGAACTCAAGTAAACCGCCGCTCACCAAGTTACTCAACTCACCTGCCAGCCTGAGTATGCTCTGTGAAAGGGCCAGGACTCCAGAGTTAAGCAACAGACTGAGACTGTTGGAGAAGTGCTCCGCTACCAGCAGGCCCAGGGTGGCCAGGATGAAACGGGAGCACGGCAACGCTCCCAGGCTCAGCCGCTCCGTAAACTGAAATGGTTAAAAGAAATAGTAACTATTACATTTGCACAACTTTCCTTCCAGCAGTTGTCACAAATATAAACTAGAACATTCATAGTACAACTTTTCCTCTGGCAATCGTCACAAATAGTAACTATTGCATGCGCATAACTTTCCTTCAAGCAATGATCAGAAATTGAAATAGTAACTACAACATTCATATAACTTTTATTCTAGCAATTAAGAGGAAGAAATAGCAGGCCTGTTTCAGCTTTGTCTAAGTTTTCATAATCACGGAATGAAAAAGTAATCAATCTTGAATTTCACCGGACAAAAGAGTGCAGAGAAAGAAAAAAAAAGAGTGGCAAGAACAAGTAAAAAGAACATGCTACACAAGTCAAATGAGAGGAATGCTGCAGCCTGTGATTTCCTTAATATTATTTAAACAGCATACATGACATTTGGAACCTCTTTTCCTTTATGTAATAAAGTAATTTTGCCTACCCTAAGTGGCACACATAACGATAATTATGATCATATAACAATAAAAACAATTTTGTATCTTAACAAGGGCCTGTGAACGCAGAGAACAGCAATATAAAATGACCAGCCCGTGATCTCCTTAGTCTGATTTTAAAAAAGACATGTGACACTTTTGAACCTACCTTTGTGTTACACGGGTTGGGGGAGGCTGGGTTGATGCCTCGCAGTTTAAACATCATGTCGGCCTGTATGACGCAGTGGCGCAGCTCCTGGATGGCCCAGCGGTACAGCTCGGCAAAAGTCATCTCCAGCAGGATGCGATCACATGGCGGGATCAGTTTCACATCGTGCAGGCAGTGTGGTAAGGGCGAACTGAAATATAATATATATATTCCTCTCAAGAAAAGAATCACAAGAATTACTGTTCAGTCTTCCTATATGAGCTATATGAGAGACTAAATTTTTTTATTTATACCACAAGCCATGCAACGACAAAGAAGGAATAATGTTTGCTTCATTGGCTATGCATAAGAAAGATGTAATTTCAAACCAAAGTATTTCTCCATGAATGCCAAAAAGTTTTACAGAGCACTTTACTTTCAGCACAACTTGGTTTCATGTTGATTGTGACAGAAACATTTTTTTGTATTCAACTGAGGCAGAATAGGTCATATCCAAGAAGAAAACTGTCCCCCTGTAAGAGCTGACTTCTTGTTGCCACACATTTGATAATCTTTCTTCGCTTGTTCGTTTTGGTTTTGTTTGGTTTGTAGTATTAAAAAAATATCACTATATAACAATATTGCTAAGACAATTTATTTAATTCAAAGGCATAATTATTGATCAGCCAGCAAGGCTTGCATTGGACATAATGTCTTATCATCAAAGAAACTGCCATATCATCACACCACGTGTTGTGTATCTTTCTATCTCTTTCTCTACAAAAGGAGCCATCTGTCTTTGTCCATCATTGTAATCTATATCTACTCATATATTTATCCGATCGATCTATTTCTCTCTCTCTCTCTCTCAGTATTCATATATATATATATGGTTACTTTATAGTTTAAAAAATAAAAACAAAAGAAAAAAACCCAAAAAAAACAACAACAACCCTAAAACACAGGCCAATAAATCACTATGTTTTTCGGTTAAATGAATTTCTCTGCATTAAAATTATCCCTACCAAATAAAAGTCCTGACTTTGTCACGGTAGAAAATTTTTTTAAAGCAGCCTCTGGAACAAGCAAACTGAAGCCTTCACCACATGTAACAAGAGAACTCACTGGTGCTTTGTGCCCACAGAGAGTAGTCCCTGCCAGCCACAGAGTATGCTGTACTTGACTGAGGGGACCAGATGTTCCTTGTGGACCAGCGTCAGCATGTTCTGGATTCCTTGCAACCTCCGCTCGGCTCGTGCCACCTGGTGATGTTATCAAAAAAGTTTTGTTTTTTAGTTTTAGTAGAGGTTTTACGGCACTCGCAACGGCATAAGGTCATATGAGAGCCAGGAGATTACAGGTGTCACAAGAGAGTAGCAAACATAAAAAAGAAGAAGGGGAGATAAGGACGATGGATCTTTGATAGGAAAGAAGAAGCAAACCAAACCAGAGCACTCGCCAACCACTCACATCAAAAAAGTAAAATAAAGAACATCACACACCAAGCAAAGAATATTAGAAGACCGAGCCACTAGAAAAAAAAAGTCTGCAGAGGTGTACATCTTGCTGCAGAAGATTACTTTGTTTTAAAAAGAGTTTTACAGCACTTGTAACACAACAACGTCATATAAGTGCGAAAAATTAGATGTGTGACAGGATCATAACAACACAAAGAAAGAAGGACGAGAGAAAAGTTAAGTTTAGATTAGTTGCAGCAATGATAGTACATAACAAGATGGGCCACTCAGCCAAAAAAGTGTCCGCAGGAAGTATGCTCCTTGCTTCAGATGGCGCTGCAGTCTGTTTTGAAGCTCTCTTTCGTTTTTCCAGAAAAAGAATAGGAATAGCACCTCCTTGCGTGCGCAGATAGACTGCTGTTCATCAGCAGTTCGGGTACGTTCAGTGCGGAGTTTTAGTTTTTAAAAATTTTAATGACCTCTCGCCTTTCATTCTAAAGTCAAATTAAACAAAGAAAACCATCACCCTTTCCTCCGGAAGAGGTTTTTTGTCAGCGTAACCATTTTAAAAAAGCGTTCTTCCGAAATTTATCCCAAAACTTGCTAGTTTCACTTTGATTTTAAAAAACTCAAGTAGGGTAACTCTGTTCGCAAAGAGTGCGCTTTTGTGAAGAGGGCGCCACCGAATTTTGAGGACACTTTTTTAATTGGCTCAAAGAGAGAAGTGACCCATCTTGTTATGTACTATCATTGGTTGCAGTAAGCTTTTCATGGCACTTGCGACACAAGTAGGTTGAATATGTGCTGAATATTTTAGAGGCGTTACAAGATAGCAAAAAAAAACAACACAAAAAAGGAGAGATAAAGGACGATAGAAGTTTGATCGATAAGGAAGAAGGAGCAAACCACACCAGGGCACTCGCCAACCACCCACTGTTGAAGATTGAATGGGAACATCACAGACAAATAATCTCACTCACCTGATGGTGGAGAGATCTGCGGAGCTTCTCAATGTCCACAGGGTGTTCAAACAAGACAAACTCCACAATCTTGCTGACCAAGCTCAGCTCTGCCCGGGAGCCCGTCAGTCTTTGCCGCAGCCACCGCATCTTCTGGGAGTTGGTCACCACCTTGACTACCTCTTCCCATGGGTCGCTCTGGAAAAGGGGGAGAGAGGCAAATGGAGTCAGGTTGGATGAGCGCGAGTATGAGAATATGTGTGTGTGTGTGTGTGTGTGTATGTGTGTGTGTGTATGAGTGTAAAAGAGAGACCAAGGGAGGGAAGGAGAGAGGTACAAAGGGAGAGAAGGAGGGAGGAGGAAGAAGAGAACTGGCGAATAATTTTCCATATCATTTATAACACAAAAATGCAAATACAACTAAAAAGGAAGAGCACAACTTTTTTTTATGAGTAAGGGGAAAAAATGTCAAAGAGGGTTAAAGACCTCTTAGTCCGTTTCCTCTGATTGCACAGTTGACCTTTCACCTTTTTGTAACACAAAATGCTTCACCTTTGTACCTGTCATTCAGCGGAGATACAAGTTTAGAAACTATGCTTCTCAGACAAACATCACAAAATCCACGGTTCTTCTTTAACACCTTGCCCCCACGGTATGCCAATCGGTGATGGATAGAAGCTGCCCGTTTTCCCCATGGGACAAGAATCAGTGACAGCGCGATATAGCGTGTATCGCCTCTGTATCTTAGTTCGTGGGGATAAGTGTTGCACACTCTGCGCTGTGCGGGGGTGGAAAGTGTTAAACAAGCTATATTATACAAGTGGAAAAAGATTTCTTTACAAACAGGTTATTTCCTTTTTTTTTAAATTACAAAAACATCACATAAACATACTGTTCTGTCTTGCGACATGCTCTTTGTCTCCGCTGCATCCTCATTCTCCCCTTCCTCCTTTTCCTCAATCTTGATGTCGTCCAGATTCAGAGCCCCAGGGCTCTTCCCGCCACTTTGCTGTGTCTCGCCTTCAGAAGCAGTGCTGACAGCCTCCTCGCTGCCCTCCCCTTCATCCTCGCTGTTGTCTTCCTCCTCCTTCACCTGGGAGGTTTCTTCTTTGCCTTCATCATCCTTGGCGTCATCAACACCACCAGCAGCCTCACTCAGAAGGGATTCGTTGTCCTCATCATTTTCCTTGTCACCTCCACTGTCTTCATCATCTTCATCTTGAGTTGATGAAAGTCCTGCCATACAAAGAAAACGGAAAAGGAAAATCAGGTTTCCTGGAGTGTTCCATCATTCTACAAGCTAGTAGACCATGTTAGCATGATAGAAAAAGAAAACCCACATAAGTTCTGTGCCATACTTACATTTTGTTCTTGTTTAAAACAAAAGTTGAAAAATAACCCCAAGCAGAACATATGACATAAAGACTATGCTGCAGTAAGCCCTCTATGTGTGCATACAGACCAGGAAGCCTTTAACCACAGCCGCGCACAAATAACACGAACACGAACAACTCAAAATCATATATAACTTGTGCAAGCCATTCCCCGATGAATATCTTAAAATGTTTTTTCTTATTGACTGACCAGAGTTATGAATGTGTCTAACACATTTGGCAACGCTCTATGCATTTGAGTTATCCGTGCCCCATTGTATACAAAAACCCTAACGAAACTCACCCTTTGATCTCTTCTTGTCGTCGACGATGCGAGAAATGACTTCCCTCCATCGCGGCATTGATTTAAGTAGCTTGGACCGAGTGAACATATTCATTTGATCCCCAGAGGCTGGTCGCAACTCGTTGATTAAAAACAGACACCTCTCAATGACAGGGGCACACACCTCCTTGTAAGACCTGCCCTGGTCTTGATGAGCCTGAAACAGAAACAATTACAAGGTAAGAATATATCTAGTAGGTAAAGAATTCTTGCACAACACAACTGTAATACAACCCCACTGAGAAGAATAAATTTTTTTTTTGCAGCTAACAAAAAACAAATTACTGTCAAAGAAAATTCCTGGCCGGTAGGGTAAGTGTGTTTCAGTGTGCTCCCAACTGCATAAGGTCATATGAGCGCGCGGGAAACATTAAAAATTTTCAATTGGTAGGAAATTCTGAATTTTGCCAGCGTGGCGCCAGAAGCCTACTCTTATCGATTTTGGACCACCAAGGGATCTTTAACATGCACAACTTGCACATGAGACCTCCGAGAATTTTCTCCCTTGTCTGAGAAGGCTAGGTGTAGATCTTTCCTACCACAAGACTAGGGGTGTGGCTGAAAGAAACCAGCAAAAAAGATCCAAGGAGTACCAGGAGAAAGGCTGCAGAAAGAGTCAGAAGCCTTGAGGAGGGGGCAAGGAGGTGAAGGGATGGGAGCAGAATGTGGAGATGAAAGCAGACGACAGAACATTGCTATAGAGCAGGAAAGGATGTGAAAGGAGAACATTTTACAGTAAAAAAATTTCTGTCGCTATCCGGATTCGAACCCACGACCTATGGAATGAGAGGCAAACACCGTAACCTCTAGACCACGAGAACCCCCTCTCCAGGCTGGAACTATAACTTCAAACTCCAAGTACACAAGAAATAAAGTCAAACACTCTAAGACAAAGCTCCTATCTAAGATCATCAAATTAAAGATAGAACATTAATGATGATCATTTAGTTTTAGTAAGGTTTTACGGCGCTCAAAACTGCATAAGGACATATGAGCGCTAATTATGATGATCTTTGTAAAAGCATGATGGCATATTCATATATGTATCAGCAACATTGGTCACATCCGTTGTATAAAAAATTTGTTTTTATGATCAACCACAAAGTGCAATGCTCTTCATTAAGTGTTCAAGAAGCTTTGCCTCCAAAGAAAAAGATAACATGCTAAAACAGCTCTCAAATTACATTAGGCTTGTACAAAAAACTTTCCTCAGTTGGCCACCAATGCTGTCTATCTTATTCACCTTAATGGATATGTGTGAGCTTGTTAAAGGACATGTGTGCACTAAATAAGGGATAAGTGTATGCTTATTATTCTCCTTAATAAATATGTGTTTGCTTGTTATTCAACTTAATGAATATGTGTGTATTTATTAAAGGCTAAGTGTGCGCTTGTTAATAGATAAATGTATACTTTGTTACCCACCTTTAAGAGAGACAGCTCATTATTTTCCTTAATAAATATGTGTTTGCTTGTTATTCAACTCGATGAATTTGCGTGTGTTTATTAAAGGCTAAGTAAGTGCTTGCTAATAGATAAAAGTATACTTCTGTTACCCACCTTTATGAGAGACCGCTTGGTCTGGCAGATAACACGGCACAGTTCCGCCACGGCTTTGGGCATGGTCAGTTTGCCGGCGCCCTCCCCCTGGCCGTGCTCCACCAGGCCCAGCACCACATAGCCCAGGTCACAGTGCTTCAGCAGCACCGCCATCAACAGTCTGCCACAGAAAACAGGTCAACAAGATGCAGTTGGTAATGAATTTAATGTTCTTTAGTTTTTAGTTTTAGAAGAGGTTTTACAATGCTCACAACTGCATAAGGTCATATGAGCGCCGGAAGATTAGGTGTTACAAGAGAGTAACAAACATAAAAAAGAAGAAGGAGAGATAAAGACGATAGATGTTTGAAAGGAAAGAAGAAGCAAACCACACCAGACCACCGGCCAACCACCCACACTTCATGTTCTATATGGCAGTGACTTATAAATTAAGCCACTCATGCTGTGCTTCTAAATAGTAATGTAAGTTTTTAGTTTTCGTTAGAGTACTACAGCATTTGCTTGTTTGTTTGCGTAGGTGTTTTACGGCACTATCGACTCAGCTTTGGTCATGGAAGTGCCACCGGCATATACCACACAAATAGGTCTTGTAATGCCAAAGATTAGGTGTTAATAGAGAATAATATACAAAGAAAAGGAGGAGAGATAAGGAGGACAAATATTTGATAAAAAAGTAAGAGCAAACCACACCAGAGCACCGATTAACCAACTACATACACCTTGTTCAGTCAGGTACAGATTTTGTTACTGATAACACGGAAAGAGCACCCACCAATCTCCCACACAGGTAGGGATTTTGGGAGGAGGGAGTGGACATGACAGGAGTAACATTTTGCCATGGATAACACAAAGACAAAATAGTAACAGGGGAAAAAAGAAGGAGCAGACTGCATCATAAAACTTTATAGGAAAAAGAAAGTTCCATTTGTTTTGAGTTGCACAGCCAGGCATTAAAGGCAAATTTATAGAGACTAAAATATTATTTAAAAGGAAAAATATCTGCACACATCTGGAAACTAGTATGTAGATTTGTAGTGTCAGCCAAAGAGTGGAATTAGGTGAGCAAAGAAACATAAGAATTCGCAATTATGAGTAAAACAATCTTTGAGCATGTCCGTGTCTGAGAAGTTAAGAAAATCAACTAAGTTTTTAGCAACTTTTGGGAGACAGAACCTGCACATACTCCAACAACAGAGATGACTGGCCACATTAAAAAAGGTATAAGAAATACTGGGATGGGGGGACCCTTTGTTTTATTCAAACTTTTCAAAATTTCTGGAGTATGAGCAAATTAAAACTGATATCACATACAAAAAGCAGACACAATAGATTATCATTTTCAAACAAGAAACAAAAAATAAAAAATACTCCATACATTTGAAGCTCTATAATATTTCCTGAACTCACCTGCCAACTTCCTCAACAGGGTGATCCGATGGGAAATCAAAAGGGAACAAGAGGTGGTGCGTACGGCAGTACTTGTCTACCATACTCAAAAATGCCTGTAGGAAATACAGAAAAATACTAATGTAAAACAAAGTACAATACCGATCTTATTTTGAAATTCATATCAACTGTGCAAGCTAAATATCATAGTAAGTGGAGAAAATGAGAAGGCAATTGTTTTCTGAGTATTAAAAAATTTGTTGGACACAAAATAAAGACGAACTACATTTTTTCATTTCATTAAGTGAAATTCAGCAAAAGCTTAAACTCTTTTGGGACTATATTTACTTCCTGCATTCTAAACAAAGATATAGTTTTTTTTTAAAGCACAGCAAAATGACCCAGGGAAAAAACATTCAACAAACACATCATTAGATATTAAGAGTGCCATATCCCCCAAAACACAAGAAGACAAAAATCTGGATAAAAATGAATCAAAACGCAAGAGTGGGATTTTCAAATAAAAAGTCGACGCCTGAACACACGACAGCATAACACAAACAACAACCTTAACAGTGGGGTCCTGCACTCTCGACTCGGCCAAGGCGTGCAGAAAAGGTCTGGCAGTGTCCGTGCTTGCTTGCTCCGCCTGGAACCTCCTCTCCTTGTCTACAGCACTCTGGGTCACGTTGCAGTGCTCAGATGTGGGTGTGGCACCAGCTGTTTGCACCAAAACAATAATAATTGCATTTATATTGCACATATCCACACTCTACAACATGCCCCATGCACTTTACAACCATTATTACCCCCAGCAGACCCCAGAACAATCAGAGACATTCTCGGCTTCCCAGGAAGCATACAGTGCAAGCTGCACAGTGCACACATTTAAACACTTCCCAGGAAGCATACAATGCAAGTTGCACAGTGCACACGTTTAAACACTAACAAACTGACAAGACCTTTAGCTGTCTATAGCTAGGTACCCATTACCACCTGGGAAAAGTGAGGTAAATACAAGTAAAGTGCCTTTCCCAAGAACACAATGCCGGGTCCTTGATGGGATTTGAACCCACCGCCCATGGTTGTGAGTCTGAGAGCCTAACCACTAGAACACCGATGCCACAAAAGTTGACAATGTTATTCCAGGAAAAACAACACACGGGTCATCTAGGTCTAATAAGATTTCCTGAATTTGTTGGATTGCGTCGAAAACTCAATTGATTTTTAGAACAGACCTCAGCTGTCAGATGATTGAATATAACTACAACAAAGACAATATGGACAGACATAGCTTAAAAGAGTCTTTATCATTATATGATATTGGAAACAAACAAAAAACTACTGAAGCACTCTTTGTTGATCAATGTTAATATTTCTTTCTACTTACAGTCCAGGAAGCTCTAGAAATAATTCTAGGTCTACCTGACACCCTTGTGATCCGAAGAGCAACATGGAATAGGTCATGACCACTGGTACAACCCCTCAGCACCCACAAATGAACAGATAAAATTACTGGTTGAGTACCGGAAGAGATGAAAGAATGAAAAAAAAAAACCCCATTAGAATTTCATCAGTTTGTGAATGGTAAACAAAGCCATCATAAGTAGCGACAATGACATCTTCAGCAAGCCAACCCAAACTTTTAAAACTCTTTTCTTTTAGTAAAAAATTACGGCACTTGCAACACAAAAAGGTCAAATAAGTGCCTACGGTTACAGGTGTAACAAGAGAGTAACAAACACAAAAAAGAAACAGGAGAGATCAGGACAATAAATGTTTCATAGAAAGGAAGGAGCAAACCCAACCAGAACACCCGCCAAACCAGCCGCTTTTTTATACTCTTGTCAAATAAGAACAGATACATACAGAGCAACCAAGTTGTATCTCTTTGTAGCCCGCTGGATGACGTACCAGGAGTGTTGCAAGTGCTTGCACTTCGGCTCTCTCCCTTTTCTTCGTCAAAGCCAGCCTGATTCAGCAGTTGCAGCCCTCCGGAGAAGAACTCTGACTGCAGCCATTGTCTGCTCTCCAGCTCATCCGCTGACAAGCTAGTGCTGCGGACCTGGGCATGCACAACATACATGACATTAATGAGTGGGGACTAAAGAAGTTATTTTATAAAGAGACCGCAAATACATTTCAATTTTTTTAAAAATAATTTTCTTTTAACTCTTTATCTCCGAGGTGGGTGAACCCACAGCGCCTGGGCCCTTTTTGGTGCAAAATCTAAAAACGACAAAAACATCATTAAATGGGTCATTAAATCGAAACTAACAAACCTATTTTGATAGTTCTTCATCTTATGAACATACAAATCCCAGTAAGGCAAGCCATCAAACTTGCTAGACACAGGAAGCTCTTTCATCCCTCGAAGCCCAAGAAGTAGAAGAGGACGGATAAAGTAAAGTAAAGTAAGTAAGACAACAAAGTTGAGACAGAAGCTAATATTAGTCTAATGACAAGCTTATACAACAATGCTCAGACCTGCTGCGCAGCATTCAATCCCAAGAGCACCCCGAGTGTCCGTTCTGTGTCAATGAGGGGAGAGGACATGGAGCCGCTTCCTGGGGTCTGGACTGTGTCTTTCTCAGGCTGAAAAGACCAAAAACCAAAACAACAACACATTATTGCTCAAGAAAAACAAAACAACAGCTGAAAAAATAAAGGGTTTAAAAGGGAATTTCGATCTACCAAAAACCTTTCATCTACAAATCATAAACTTGAAATCAATGGCGAGTATTTATGTTCAACGCCTTTAATATATTATTATAAAACTTACAAGCACCTAAATGAAAAAGGATAGATAGCAGATAAAAAAAGAAGTCCCTAAGAAAGTACTCCTCAAGCTCTTCAGAAAAGCAATACTAGGAAGAAAGGAAATACCAGGAATACTAACATAGCAACAAATCATAATTAAAAACATGATGATAAATGAAAAATGTGGACTAGAAACATAAACTAAATAGTCTATGCAAAATGAAAAGCCTGACAAGTGTATGTTTTCTCCAATTCACCTTGAGATGTCAGTATAAAATTGTGATTCTGAAACTTGAAAAAATAAAATAAAATTCACACAAAAATGTAAACATGAGAAAGACTTTTGAAACTTACATCAATGTACTGTCCCACATAAAAACAACTCATCATCTCTCTGGCATCGTCTGAGTGATGTGCAGACTCAAATGCAAGTGATGCGTCGCGGCCTGAGCGGAAGACAATAGATGGCATACTTATTGACGCTGATTGTCTTTTTTTTTTTGGGGAGAGGGTTTTACGGCGCTCACAACTGCATAAGGTCATATGAGCGGCAAGGGGCGGGTGTCAACAGAGAAGTCTTTACAGGGAATCAGACTTCGACTGCTCATCTCTCTAGCTTCAACAGCACAAAGTCTGCTTCGACTATCAAGGCACTCCAGAAATAGCAGGTCACAAGAGTGTGACAAATATACAAAAGAAGTAGAGGAAAATGACAATAGCAAGGATTAGGAAAGAAAAAGCAGCAGTGCCCTGTTGAGAGTGACATGGTGAATCAATCCATTTACAATTCTACTGTGCATGAACGAGAAATGTCCCCCTTTGGAAGCTGATTGTCTATGTGCATGGCATATTGAAAAGCAATAAGGACGTTGCTGGTGTTTATGACTAAGAATATGAGCTTAGAAAAAAACCCTCATAAACATGGTAATTGTCATAATGTTGTTGGGGGGAAAAACGGGAATAAAGCAGAAACAATAAAAGTACAGTAAAGAGGCAGGAACTATCAGTTGTGTCATCCAACTATCAGCTAGTCTAGTATAAAAGTAGGGCACATAAGACCTGAGTTATTCTTCTTCCTGACCTAAAAATCTTCTACAAGTCATGTCACAGGATTAAGTGTTCAAAATCTTGCAAATTTCCTATTCTGGACATATTTTTTTTTTGCAGCAAGCAAAAACATGACCAAGATATGTACCTGCCCACTCCTGGAATGTGTCGGCGCCACAGGGTGCCTGGTCACGGAAGTCTTGAAGGTCGTACACTTTGCCGTGGATCACCACCCAGAGGCCACCGTCTTTGTTGTGGTTCTCCAGGTCAGCTTTGCGGATCATCTGACTGTCTTCACAACCACGCATGCTGTACTTCTCCAAACTGTAACCTGTGAGGGACACAATTTGAAGCAGCATTCCATTAAGGAGTTGTGCTTAGCACCTAATAGGAAGCAAGAAGGCATACAGATTATACAAAATCATTTAGCATAAATATATTACAAGTGATTCATTTTGAATATAAGTTTTACGGCATTATCAATATATTAAACATACAACAGACACACCTATGCCCAACATTGCTTTCTTTGAGCCAAACCTAATATCTTTTGCTCAAGGACACACCCTAGTGATAAATAAATTTGAAGCTTTTGCCACTTGACAAACTTACTTACTCTCTCCCAATACAATCAGGTACATAAGGTGGACAGAACTTGACCAACTTACTCTCTCACTATACCATCAGGTACTTAAGGCAGAGAGCACTTGACAAACTTACTCTCTCACTATACCGTCAGGTACATAAGGCGGAGAGCACTTGACAAACTTACTCTCTCACTATACCGTCAGGTACATAAGGCAGAGAGCACTTGACAAACTTACTCTCTCACTATACCATCAGGTACATAAGGTGGAGAGCACTTGACAAACTTACTTACTCTCTCACTTTACCGTCACGTACATAAGGTGGAAAGCACTTGTCAAACTAAAAGACAAGAAAAACTGATGACTCACTCCAGACCCCCGGCCAGGCCAAGTCCTCCGTGTCCTCTCTCTCTGCACCCGGTGCCAGGTGGTTGAAGTAGTCCAGTTCGTCCAGCACCTGGGACAACAGCTGGGCCGCCCTCGATGCTTGCATGACCTGGGGACATCGCAGCTGCAGCAGCACCAGACAGGTCACCATTTCTGGCAGCAAAATGCCTGAGGATGAGTAAAGAAAAAAAAATGCAGGAGACATTAAATAAAACCCTTTCTGTATTGTAAGAAGCTGGTATCTCATCAGAAAATGTTATGAAAACAAATCGCTACCTCAGAATTACAAAGTTCTATCTGACATTTCTGGCCGTTTTGAGTAACTGAGATCATGAGCTCAGAAACCAAAATGTTCTATCTTCTCTAACAAAATGGCAAGATTATTTGGAGTCGTTATCAAGATATTCAAAGAAATGCATTCGAAAAAGCTTGACATGTTCTCAAAAACTGGGTACTGAGCAGATAGAACTTTGTAATTCTGAGGTAGCCAAATGCAGTTGAACTTGTCCAAGATGCCCACCCATTCTGGACTTTTATTTTAAAAGAAAGTAAATCCAGTTTTCCAAAAAAAAATTGGAAGATCTATTCCACCTGAGTTTAAAACACGAAGCACATTTCTTCCTTAACCTGGCATCAATATCTTAATAAATAAGGTAGAGAAAGTGCTTTGAAAATATTCAAAGAGACTGACTGTTGAAAGGAAAAGAAGCGTTTCTTTGGCTCTCCTAAACATTTTACAAAACTAGATTATACGGTCTTTTAAAATAAAACTCCAGGACTGTCGAGCAGAAAAGTAGTCAACTTAGATAGGTGGTCGTCTTGGACAGTCTCGTTGTAATATAGAAGGAACACAATAGGAAAAAGTGCAAAGTAGAGGTTTGTACAAGTGAATGTCTTGGACTCGTGGTCATTAGAGCAGATTCGACAGCACTCTTTTGGTCGATTCCTCAATCAATCTTTCCAAGCAAGTACAGAAGAGTAGACCCTTTGTGAAAAAAAAATGGCTTGGTTAAAAAAGAAGAAAGAAGATGACAAGATCAGACTAAAGAAGACAATTAAAGTGAACTTCAATCTCATGTTTTGGTAACTTTTTGAGTCTTTACTGGGTTGGGTAGTTGGCCATCTGCCAACTGGCTCTTTTCTTAAGTCATCTCTTAAAATACACAGTACCATGACAGGTGCTATTCTTTGCACACACACCCCCCCTCCCCACCACCAGAAAGGAAGTGTGAACGATGTGATGCCCTTGTTAGTATGGACACAGAAAAGGTGAGACAGTGGATCATCACCTGTTCCACTAAGCAGCCCTAAATGACATCGGACCTATACACCAAGAGAGAGCCCCCCTCCCCCGAGACCTCACATTGACAACACACTCTATGGAACATTACCGCAACTGCAGCAAAACTGCACTTATCACTAAATGGCACTGGACAGAAGGGTGAGAGCTCAGCTGTTGCTGGACTGGTAACAACAATAACAGCAACAACAACAACAACAGAAAGGGAGGGAAGGCAAGAAAACTTACCAATAACATCCCTGTTCAGTATGGAGGTGACAGCAGCAAAACTGCGAGCACTCATCTCTCCAACACTGCTTGCTGTGGGCAGGATACTGGACACATGGCCCACCAACAGGCTGCAGTATTTGCGCAGCAGAGACGCAGCACCCAGCATCTCATAGCCTGGTTCAGATAAAGCAACAAAAACCAGTTAATTTCTATTTTAAAATGTTTTAGTAAGAGGTTTAAGGCACTTGCAACACAATTAGGTCACATTAAGTGCAGAAGATAAGAGGCATTACAAGAGAGTAACAAACACAAAAAAAAGGAGGAGAGATAAGGATGATTGGTGTTTGATCGGAAAGAAGGAGCAAACCCCACCAGAACACCCGCCAACCACCCATCATTTTATTTTTTTCATGTAAAAAAAAGTAACATTGTGTTTTCGTCAGCTTCTGCAACATAAATCAAAAGTAAAAGACAACATTGTTCAACAGCAAGGATTCATATGATGGGTCAACATTCTCTTCCTCTTTCTCTCACTGTCCAAGTCTTTTCTTTCTCTTCTCCCTCTCTGTTCCATATTTATTTCATCAAACAGATCATCATATGCATAATCAAAAGCAAGCAGACTAAGAAATATATATGTACATGAAAAACAAGTTAGAGCAAACAGAATCAAATACCATCAAAGGATATGCGTTATATAAATGTAATTATTATTATCATTATTATTGTTGCTCTCGTTGTTGTTGCTGTTGGTGTTCCTGACGTTATATTATCATTATTATTGTTGGTATTGTTATTATTATCATTATTATCATTATTATCATTATTATTATCATTATTAAAGTGAACAACCATATCACCTGTCTCTCCCTGAAAGACACTGCCGGGCAGTGAAGAAGTTTCTTTGTTCTTGCAAGGCTTGGACTCTCCCGACACAGAGTGAAGTGAATGGACGGAGTGGTGCTCGTCAGTTGACTTGTTGAGGAAAATGCGAGCGATGAGAAGCCTCTGGAACTGCAGCAGGAGGTCGAGGGACGGGGAGTTTTCCGGGGAGTCGCCATCGGGTGACCTCATGCCCCGACACTTGGCCTCCTCCTGGAGCTTGGACAAAGTGTGAGTTGACGAGTTCCTGAAAATAACGAAAACATAGAATATGTTTGAAGGCGGCTACTTGGCATCAGAGGTAAATATTTTCAAGAAGATGGCCGACAAATTTGGAGACTTCTAAAGCTTGAGGGTCCCCGGAAACTGCAAATTTTCGTATTTCTTTTTGCAGTGCCTTTGATCAATGTTTTTCCAGTAAAATCCACTCAGAAATGTGATATTAAATGGACATAAAAGATGTTCGGCGAAAACCCCAAAATTTGACAGAAATCAAAAACCAGAGGGAGAATGCCGATTTCTTGGATTTCATTATTTTTCAAGAGCATTGAAAATCTAGATGACCAACAGTAAACGTTCCAGAGGTAACAGGGCAAGCACACAGATCGTTCAAATCCTTCAGGACAAACCTAAAGAGTTGGTGTATAAGTTGTAGCAGAGGTATAGAGGTCTCTCCATCCTCAGTTTGCTCTCCCAGCTGGACATCCAGCAGGGGCGTCTCACTCTTCACAGCATTCGTTGCCTCTCCAATCTTGTCCTTTTCAGCATCTCCTCCCTCTTTCTTTGTCTTCATCTCACTCTCTTTCTCCTGCAAAAGCACGCAAAAAGGTAACATTTTAAAAGGAAAAAAAAGCTGTTGTCATTTCAAATTTGAAAGGGGGGGGGGGGGGGGGGGGGTGTTGTTGTATTTTTTAAAAAGCAGAAAAATTCTAAATCATTCTTTTCCTTCTCCAGCAACTGCTGGTGCCCAGTTAAAGGCTTAGTTTTAGCAGGAGTTTTACTGCACAAGCAATTAGGTCATATAAGTGCTGAAGATTAGACATGTTACAAGAGAGTAACAAACACAATAAAGGAGGAGAGATAAGGATAAAAGATGTTTGATAACAAAGGAGTAGCAAACCGCACCTGAACACCTGCTAACCTAAATTTTGAGACATTTCAATATGAAACTGAACCAGCCAGACACCTGCAATTCCAGGATAAGTCATTCTTGTAGGAAATTGTTTAGTGTAGCCGAAGTGCTAAAAGATTTCCAGGAATTTTTCTAATTTAGAATGTTGAATCAGATGAATATTACACAGAGACAGATTTTTAATCAGTTTCTGATGAAGGCCTAGAACTAGATTTGAGTGATGATGAAGGTTATAGATCTATGAATGAAACAAGAGTATCCTGAAAACAGGTAGATCTAGATGTAGATCCAGAACTAGCACTCAAAGTGGTGTAAAGGCTAAATTCCAGCAGATAAAGCATTTAATGGTTCTTTACGAGGGCCTAGAAACATGCCCCCACACACATGTCAGAGTCTTCTCTAGGTACCAGTTCCTTTATAATGAAAATGCCAAGGAGTCCTGGCTGTGGGAACATTTCTGGTAAGGGGCCCAGGGCCCAAAGGGTTAAGGGAGAAGGTCAAAATTAACGAAGAAAAGAAGCAGGTTACAAGGACACATAGAGACACAGACACACACAAACATTCATTATGCATTCCATACAACTACAATGACACCAGAACAAAACCCATCTCTAAAAGGCGCTGAATATTAATACAAATACTCACTCTGACCAAGAACACCGAATGATAGAAAAAATAAAGTCTTTGGGTGCATTTACCTTGGAATCATCCATGTCCTTGACCTCAGCTTTGATGGCCAAGTGCAAGGCTGTCTCCAGGCCCCCATCAGCCATGAGGGAGCTCACCAAGAGGTCCGTCATGAACCGCTGACCACTGGACATCACAGTCATATCACGGCCTGCGGGTATAATGTATCATCGCTTGTGAAATGTTGTTGAAATAAGGAGTTTTACATAGAGTATGTATTTCTCATTTTTAAAAAAGATGATCTATATCTTGATTCAAAGCCTTTTCTCATCAGTAAAATTGAATTATTTAAAAGCACTTCAAAAAAGATTAAATGTGATGTGGACTTCATGCTCATATATCTTGAAGATTTCAAAAAATGAGCATCGTCTTTTCCCCAATTCTACAAATAAAGAAAAGAAGAAATTGAAAAACAAATGCTTGTTTAATTCAGTCATATCAATACACAGTCCTTAAGAATGTAGAAGCAAATTTTCTTTAAAGAGTTAAAAATGAACCAAATTGACATCACACTTATTTCTTAAAAAGAATATTGGTGCAGTTTTTTACTTGGTATTCAGGACCAATTTCGACAGTAACATAATTCTTAGAACTGATATTAAGTATAAAACAAAATTTCTTGCAACTCACTCCCAGAAGAAAGCAATGACGACAAAGCCCTGGCTCTCTCCTCGGGTGTGGGCAGCAGGAGTGACCAGCCGCTGTGCAGAGTGGCCTGAGCTGCCCTCTGGATGGTGGCAATGACCCCGCTGTGTGAGGCCAGACTGACCACTCGCTGCTTAAGGCTCTCTGCCAAGGGACTGCCCTGACCTAGACCCACGGCCTCCACATCCTCAGACTGGCAGATGGTGGCATGGAGCTGTGGAATCATACAGTTTTTTAAATAGTTCTAGTAAGTGTTTTACGGCACTTGCAACACAATAAGGTCATATAAGTGCTGAAGATTAGAGGTGTTACAAGAGAGTAACAAACACAAAAAAGGAGGAGAGATAATGACGATAGATGTTTGATAGGAAAGACGAATCAAACCACACCAGAGCAACCTCCAACCACCCACAACATACAGTTTTAATTATGAAAATATAACATGATAAAAGTGTTATTTGGTTAGCAAATAATTCTTTCACAACATAATTGTGTAAATATCCTGAGAAAGAAGAATATTTCTCCCTGAAACAAAAAGATAATAAACAAATTACTTTAACTGTTACTAAAGTTTATGAGAAGAGCACCGTTGAGTTTAAACTTTTTCGCATCAATTTATATATGGGCTGACTATTCAGAGGAAGACAAACAAAAACCAGATGGCCAAGAAATAGGACCTTCCTTCATGCAGCACCATCTGGCCATCGGTGGGTTACGAGGTGCAGTAGAGCAAGATTGTCAAAGAGTAGAAAAAAAAAGCTTTTCGTGTATTTGGCTTGATTGCTCTGAGTTAGCCACAATCACGTCTTCACAAGAACAAACTCTTTTACAGCAAGGATTCTGTTAGGTTAGAAAAAAATACCTGGAGGTTGAGCAAGTTGAGGGCAACTACAGCGATACATTCTCTGTCCTGAGGTGGGGGCCAGTCGCTGCGTCCATCCATGCCTTCTGTGACCTCACGCAGCAATTCTTCCAGCTGTTCTAGGGTGCTGCGGCTAACCTCCACGATAAAGGGAATCCTTGAACCCACGCTCCACTGGTCGCTCGAGGACCAAAAGAAGCTCTGTGAGGTATAGTTTTGAGACTCAGTATATGCTGAAGTACATTAATATAATTAAGGTCACTTATCTTTTGAAAAAAAAGGTATGACGAAAAACAGAAACAAACAGATAGAGATTAACTTCCACCTATCCCAAATATAGCATAAAGTCTCTCACATTATCTAGTCCCCTAATGCTTGATCTTTTCGAAACATTGTTGTCTCCCACCTCACATCTTCATCCTCCAGAAATTGCTCCAAAAACATAACAACTCTAAAGACACACATTCTTCAAAATTCAGAAAATCAATAAGACCTAGAGAGCTATTAATATAATAAACAAGTAATTTTCATTCATTCAAAAACATAAGACCCATTGTTAGAACTGACAACTGACTGACACACAAAAGTCTAACCTGTGATGGCCCACACGAAGCCCCAACAATGTGCTTCCCATCCAGGCCCGGCACCAATATCGGTTCATTCACGTTGGCGTGAGTTTCGTCGCCCAGCTGTCCCTGGTCATTTTTGCCCCAGCAGTAGACCTCGCCCTCTTCCGTCACAGCCACACAGTGCATGGAACCTATGGCCAAGCTCCGTACTCGCCGACCCCCCAGACCCTCCATCTGTTTCGGATGTCTGATGTGCTCCTCACAGCCATGGCCCAGCCGGAAGTTATCTCCTTTGCCCCTGTACAAATTTAAGCAGAAAGGGGGTGTGTGAGTGAGCAGTTGACAGGTGTTCTGGTGCAGTTTTCTACTTCTTTCCTATCAAACATTTATTGTTCTTATCTACCCTCCTTCTTTTTTGTTTGTTACTCTCTTGTGGCACCTTTAATCTTCGGCACTTATATGACATTATTGTGATGCAGATGCATTAAAACTCTTACTTAAACAAAAAAATACGAAGGGGATGTGCTTGTAAGTGATCATCAGCCACCAGCACTGGCATAGTAAGGAGTAATTTGACAACAGTGGGATTTTACTGAAGAGGGCATTACTGGGGCCTGTTAATGCTCAATATTGCATACCAACATTTAATGTCTAGCCCTATAGACATACATGACAGATCAAAGAACATCACAGTAACTGCAAAAGTGCAATGATTTGTGTAAAGCATTAACAAAGAACAATTGCAGGAGCAATAGAAGAGCAGAAAGAGAGTAGAATCACCCTTGTATACATTAATAGTGTAAAGCAGCACTAGTCATGCATTAATTAGTAACTATTATCATGTTTATTTATATCATGCATGTGATTGTGGGTCTGTTTATAAGTACAAGCATATTATTATAAGTGTATGTGTACAAATTTCGTCATTTCTCTTACCATGTAAAGACATTTCCTGACTTGGTGAGAGCCAGACTGAACTGAGCACCACAGTACACTTTGACCACATCCTGACCCATCAGTTTCTCGATGACCTTGGGCGTCTTGCAACCATCACTACCACCACGACCTAGTTTGCCATAGTCACCATCTCCCCAGGAGTAGACAGCACCTGGAATATGCAGAAAGCACAAAATAAAGTCTCTTGAAATTGATTGTGTATCAATGGTAAACCATTTCAAGCATTAAATATACATCTTGTATTTCCAGTTCATGAAATGCATCCACTGCAAAATTCTGAGTTCTCAAAACAACAGTTGAATGGACATAATAAAGATGCACAGAAATGCATTAAGACAACCGATGGAGAAAATCTGTATTAAAAAAACTAGCATGGGGGTAATCAGGAGCTTACGTTTATGAATAGCAGTGTAAGTTGCTGAAATGAAAGCAAATCGTTGGGTCATCCAAGTTTTTCCATTAGAAACAAAATAGTAAATAGACAAGCACAGAAAACAAATCCCCCTTTCAGGAATCAAGGGAACATACCGGTATCAGTGACAGCCAGTGTCTGAGCATCTCCGCTGCCACAAGCCACATCGACGACACGATGACCTTTGAGGGCCGAGACAAGGCTTGGGTAGCACTGGTCCTCGCTAGAACCATGGCCGAGCCTGCCGTAGTTACCTCTACCCCAGGTGTAGAGCTCTCCGCTGGCAGAGACAGCCGCACAATAGGTGCTGCCTGCACAGATCTGAACGATGTGTTTGCCTGACAAGGCAGTGATCAGAGTGGGCTCGTCCCTTGAGCTGTCACCAGAGGAATGAAGTTCAAATTGTTAAAGTGATCTAAAGCAAAGCAACTCGTGGCTGCCACAAAAAAAAAGCTACATAAAATAGAAGAAAAACAAAGAGAGTAACAGCATTGCGATGCACTTCAATTGCACCATGCTGCACAATAACATTTACTGATGACATGCACGGAAAGAAGACAATGCTACAGAAATGACAAAGGACTCCACATCTGTTTAAATTTTTAAGACTTATTGGCAATAGTGTTCATTTGAATTAAAGAGAAGGGAAGTGTGTCAATGTAATACAGGATATTCAATGTGCAGTGAAAAAGCAGAAACGCTGACAAAAAACCCCAGAAAGATTGGACTTACCTGTGGTGTCCTTCAAAAAACTTACAAACTTGTTCACTTTAATTTTAGTAAGATTTATGGCACTTGCAAATCAATAAGGTTATTCATTTTAGTAAGGTTTTATGTCGCTCGCCACTGCATAAGGCCAAGGTCATATGAGCGTCAAGGGGAGGATGTCAACAGGCAAACTCTGCTCACCTCTCTAGCCCCAACAGCACAAAAGTCTGTTTCGACAATCAAGGCACCCCCAAAAGAGCAGTTCACAAGAGAGTGACAAACATACAATAATAAGTTATATAAGTGCCTAAGATTAGCAGTGTTACAAGAGAGTAACAAACACAAAAAAGGAGGAGAGATCAGGACGATAGATGTTTGATAAGAAAGAAGGAACAAACCACATCAGAGCACCCGCCAACCATCCATGAACTTGTTCACTTGTTGTTCTCAAATATTGCAAGTAAGCGTGACAACGGTCACACTTCCCAAGGTAAAGTAGAGGACAAAATGAAGCATAAAGAGCAAACCATAACTCACATCCTAAACAAAATGAATCATAAAGAGCAAACCATAACTCACATCCTAAACAAAATGAAGCATAAAGAGCAAACCATAACTCACATCCAAAACAAAATGAAGCAAAAATAGCAAACTATAACTCACATCCCAAACAAAATGAAGCATAAAGAGCAAACCACAGCCCGTACCCTCCACAAACTGCCACAAGTGACTCACATGTTGTCCCCATGGCCCAAGCGACCACCGTCTCCATTGCCCCAGGAGTAAACATCCCCCTCGCTGGTCAGGGCCAGGTAGTGTTTGCCGTCAGCATGAGCTGCCAGTCGGATGATCTCCTTGTCCCCAAAGCCGCTGATCAGTTGTGGTGACTGAGGAAATGATACATACAGTAAGTTTTGTTTGACTGCTGTTTGAGGAACGGAGTTATTACCGAGATCTATTCATCAAATTATCAGCTCGACAACCAACACATCTTGTTGAGAACAGATATTAACAATACACACTGCATTGAAAAGAAGAACAACATGAGAGCGATTATCAGCCACCAGCATTGACACAGTAAGAAAAGATTTTACAGTAGAGGGAATTTCTGGAGCCTAATTCTGCCCATTATCACGTACCAACATTTAAAACGTAGCCCTATAGATATGCACGACAGATTATGGAACACCACAGTAACTGCAAAGTGTGATGATTTGCGTAAAGCATTACTGAAAAACAATCTAACAGGCAGGAGCAATAGAAAGCAGATAGAGAGTGAAATCACCCCTGTGACCATCTGCATCAACATAACATCTTCAACCTACACTACTGCGTGAAAAAGTATCTATCCTGCAACAAAAATACTCATCAGCTAGCTTTATGATCACTTTTCAAGTGTCCAACATTTTTTTCTTCCAATCCCTCAAAGTGCAAGAGGTCCCACAACAAATTCTTTCCCCTCCTCCTGAAATGGAAAACACACTAGAAATCCTTACAAATTCAATAAACAAGAAATTTGAGATGTAATTTCCAGCTGAGACCTCTAAAAACCAAAATAAAATTTTGCTATTAGAGAACACCCTTGGGCAAGAATGGACATCTAAATCCCCACTGTATAAAGCTGGAGAAAAAAAGAAAAAAACAACAACCCAAAAAGCAACAACAACCCCAAAACCATCCAATGTATTAGGTTGTGGACAAAGGCCCAGGAGCTGCTCGATAAACAACAGCATAACAGATTTCTTTTTCCCACCATAGATTGTACCTGTGTGTCAGAGCTGTAGAACATTGTGTAGACTTTCCCCGTCCGTGTCAAGGTGAGAAGACAGCGCTCAGCACACACAATCTGCTGCACTCCGCCCAGGTCGGCAAACAGCAGCAGCACGTGCGGCCCGCTGGTGGGACTGGGTGTGCCCGAGGTGCTGGCCCACGACAGCCAGCCCATGCCGATGATATCTTGTGTGACTGACCGGCAGTTTGACTGAAATAACAGCAGTGAAAGCCGCTTTATTTAGTTTTGGTAACAGTTTTTCAGCACTTGCAATACAATTAGGTCATTAAAATGTTGATGATGAGAAGTGTTACTCGAGAGTAACATACGAGGGGAAAAAAGGAAAGATAATGATATTTTTCTGATTTTTTATAAATTCAGGCCGTCCAAAGTACACAATAGCAGCAAAGATCTCTCCAATTGACTTATGGGCTTCGTTCTCATTATCATTCATATATTCCATCCTGATAGTTCATAATTTTTCTACAGCACAATACAAAGATGAAATTATGTACTCAGACACAAAAAAACGTATTTAATGCATTTTTTACATACTAGTTGGCAGCTGAGCACAAAAGGATAAGTACAGGGTGATCCCAAAAAAACTTTACAACTTTTTTTCTGAATATCTCAAGCAAAAATTGTTCTAGAATGCTGTAATTTGGAACAGACATAATTCATTCAAAAGGAATTTGTTTGATATAAAATCCAAGAAGAAGAAATGTGTTTTGAAAACGGAAACGACTAAAAGAAAAAAGCCCCCAAAAACGCAAAGTTCACCAATGCTTAAAAATCTTGTAAAGGAAGTCGTGAAAAGATTAGTTGAGCTTTTTATTTATTTTCTCTTTGACATTAATTTTCCATCCCTGAGATATTTAAACAATATTTAATTTCTTTTACAGAGTTTTAAAAACCTAATGATTTCATTCTGAAATTCCTAGAAGCAATGCTCCACATTCCCTCCTTTGGACTCGACACATTTTTAACGCATCGCTCGAAATGTTCACTGGCGCCCTAACACAAGGACCTGCTAAACCATGAGTTTTTAAAGCCATATACACTGTACATGTTCACTAAGAAATGGCTTCTAGTGACAATAGAGTGGGGGTGCCCAATAGACAGCATTTTTTTAAGTTAACATATCCTGCAGGGTGAAAATGGGCTTTGCACTAAACCAAATGTCATCGGGGAAATGATCCCTCTTTGCAAGACAATCAAGGAATCCTGAACACATTGCTATGCTCTGATCCATGTCATCTCGGCCTAGCGAAGTTAACATATGCCATGAGAATGCAGACTGTTGGTGAGTAGGAAAGTCCTAGCTGCAGTTTATCCACTGACAGACGTATCATAGGACTCGGCTTCTGAAATCTGCACTCTGGTGACGTTTAAAGGGGTGCGCATGGCGGACCTGAAGTTGTCATTTTTTAAAGAACTTTTTTAGTTCTGATTCGCTATAGATCAAAACTGACGGAACTTCTCTACTCATGACGCCAAAGGTCTTGAGGGCACCAAAGCTCTCTGCTCTTTACTAAAGGTAGCCATGATCTCAGCAGGCAAACAAAATTTGGAAAAATAATATCTGCAGACTTCTGTTGCCTTGTTAGACTGATGTAGCTTGCAATATGGCGCGATTGTTGCAACTTTTAGTGGTAGGGCTAATGCGAACTGGTGCGTCAAACTATGAAAATGGCGACAAGGTTCAACATGGGTTGTTTTTTTAATGCGCTATATAGAGCAAAACCATTCAATGGACTTATCTTAAATACATATCAGACAAATTCCTTTTGGCTTTCAAATGTTATGCTCAAATCTGAAACGCAGAACTTCAGTATGGAGGAAGATATTTAGAAAACAAGTTGTAAAGTTTTTTTTGGATCACCCTGTACTTGGTTCCTGTACGTGTTTCAAATATTGAGGGATGAGTGAATGGGTGAGTGTGGACAGCACAGAAGAGGGGAAACACAAACAAGCAAGTAGACCTCACATCTTTTAACCCTTAAACCCCGGACTATTTTTAGCCCTCACTACCCTCTGGACCTGGTAATGCTAGAATCCTTGTCACTTCAGGCTCAGCCAATACTGATTGTGTCTGCAATTTTTTTACATAAAAAAAAAAAAATCTTTACTTCTTTTATCTGAATTTTAAAAGATAATGATTACAGTAAGATCAGATTACAGTAAAAGTATGTGACTGTTTGAGGTGGCCAATGCAATGCCCTAGTGGGAAAAATGTACGTGACTGGACTTGTGGGAGCAAGAACTCAAGAGGAAAAATATACACAATTGGGGCTGTAAGGGTCAAATCATCACAGTGTCACACCTACCTTGTGTGTGGAGCTGACAGGCAGGTACGGGCTGGCCAGTCTGTCCAGGTGAGCCATGATGACCACTGCACTCTGTCGCAGGTCCACCGCTGTATCCTCCTCATCTGGGTAGCTCAGGTGTTGCAGGAAACAGTCAGTGGGGCTCACAGGGACTTGGGACTAGACAAACAGCAATAGTACACTTAGTTTAAAGTTTTAGTAGAGGTTTTACAGCGCTCGCAACTGCATAAGGTCATATGAGCACCAGAAGATTAGAGGTGTAACAAGAGAGTAACAAACATGAAAAAGAAGAAGGGGGAGAAAAGGACGATAGATGTTTGATAGGAAAGAAGAAGCAACCACAACCAGAGCACCCGCCAACCACCCACAAAGTACACTTAAATTAATTTGGGTTTTTTTTAGTAAGAAAAGCACATCCACTCAATACTAGTTATTAAGTATAAAAGACAGGTAGAATCAACAGAGGGAAAGAAAAGAAGCCAGACCTACCTAAGGCAGCTTCCAATAACCCACAACTCTGAGTTTCAGGTTCTAAAACACTATCAGCACAGTCATTTATATTGTTCTACCCTATGCACGGTCAGCCCTGTTGAAACAATTTTCCAGGAACAGACAAGGATTAAACTTCCAATGATAAAAAAGCAGAAGAAGCAGTCCCCATCAAGGATTTCACAGACTCACTGCAACATTATTAGATTGTATAAAACTTTAAAGTACTTAAGAACCACACCAAGACCACAACATTTTTTTCTTAGCTTAAGTTTTATAGAACAGCACAAAGATTATCTCAAAGGTAGAGTCCCAAATCCCCGCTCAAAATGCCCTATTGAGAGAACAAAGATCCTGGAAGTGTGATAAAACATTTGGACTGCTTTGGACTTTGCTGATTTGAGCCCTGTTCTGATTCATATTCAAAATTTCAGCAGGTAGGCGAAGTTCATAATCACCACCACATTAGAACGCTTTAT